TTTCACATAAATTATAGTTTTCACTTATGCATCATACTTTGTAGGTTTTTATTGCTGTGGGAAAGAGCATTTATAGAAAGCCAACAATTGGTATGTGGGAATTTCTAGAAAAAGAGGTACATAAAATAAATATTTTAAATATATAAAATAATATTAAATATTATATGAATATTTTAGAATGTTTACGAAGAAAATTAAAATATAAAAGTCTCTTAAGGAATTTTTTCTTTTTTTTATTGTCAATTTATTTCTTACATTATTAAGATAAAACTAATTCTAAGTCTATAAGTTCTTTATTATTATTAGTTAATTATAAATATTTTATTTCATTTCTTAATTATCTAATTTCTATTTACAATAATTCCACATTTATGTAACTCTAGAAAAATGGAGGTATCACAATTGATAAGGCTAAATCATTTTACGTCGGTGATGCCGCTGGTCGGCCGAAGAACTGGGCCCCAGGGAAAAAGAAAGATCACTCAAGTGTGGATCGATTAATGGCGTTGAATGTTGATGTCAAATTCGAGACGCCTGAAGAACACTTTTTAAAACGTAAAGCGCCGCCTTATGAGTTACCTAAGTTCAATCCAAAAAATCTATCGCAAACCGACATATGCAATCCTGCGGACGCGGAATTAACACTCAAACAGCAAGAGGTAATAATACATTTTTGATGTTAATTTTTACATTTAAAATTTTTTTAAAGATTAAATATTGAGAGATTTAAAAGGAGACTATTTAATTAAAATTATTTGATTCGCAATAAAATTTCTTTTTATACATATTTTATTCTTTCAATAACAGATGATACTTATGGTCGGCAGCCCGGGCTCCGGAAAATCACATTTTACAAAGAATCATCTAAAGGAATATGGATACGTCAACAGAGATACTTTAGGCAGCTGGCAGAAATGTATTGCTGCGGTCCAGCAATACTTGAATGAGAGAAACAGTGTAGTTGTAGACAATACTAATCCTGATAAAGCTTCGAGAGAGAGATATATGGAAGTAGCCAAGAAGTGCAACGTTCCGATCAGATGTTTTGTCATGACGACAAGTCTAGAACATGCTAAACATAATAATAAGGTAATAATCGGAAATCAATTATCATCATACGAAGAAATATTCGGAAAGCTTTAGTCGAATTATTGCATTGCAGTTTCGCGAATTAACTGATCCAAGCCACACTCCAATCAACGACATTATTATACACTCTTATATGTAAGTAAAATTTAGATATATAATACTTTCATGCATTTTCCTAAAATTCTATATTATAATCATAGTTTTGAGTTTTCTTTTATCAGAACGCAGAGTTATTTCTATTTATTTCTATTTATACCAAACTATTAGAACTTAATTGGGAACATAAAAAAAGTAATCCATGGATAAGCTAGTTTGATTTTGATAAAGAAAAAATTTGTCACTTGATAACCATAGGGCTCTTAATCAGTTAATGCGCCATATTGGATCATGATGTCATAAGCGAGAAATGATATCACGACATTCTTACATGCTATTTATAACTAAAAGAGAGAATTTGGATAAAATAAAATAATAAAATTGCTTTAAAACACTTATAACAAACATGGACCGAAATTATCCTTGTCTTCCTCCTTTCGACAATCGGTAAATAATCATAAAAAGTACATGAAGTAAAAATATGCATAAATAAACTTTGACGATTATTTTCTGATTTTCAGAAGGGAAGGGATAAGGATCGTTTCGATCCATTTGTGCAAGTTTTAAAACAAACTTATTATTTTATTTTGTCTAAATTCTCTGTCTATATAAATGATGTTAGGAAACTTCAATGTGTTATTTCTCATTTATGATATCACGATTCAACATAGCTGCGGCTAGTCAGGAGCCTAATTATTAGATAAAATATCAAAACTTTCATATTCTGTGTGCAGGAAAAATTATAAGCCGCCAACTTTGGAAGAAGGTTTTAAGGAAATAGTGGAAATCAATTTTGTTCCTAATTTCCGTAATGAGCAAGATCGAAGACTCTATGAAATGTATTTACTCGAAAATTAAATCCTATAGATTACTTAAAAGTACTTAAACAAATAAATCTTGCATGATATAAATTGAAATCCGCATCTATTCTTAATTAATATAGTAACGCTAGCAATAAAAATATTTATTACATTATTCATTGCAGTTTATCTCAACTATCTAATCAATTATTTATTTGATTATTTATTTATTTAATATAGAATACCTACAGATTCACAGAAAATGAATTATTATTTTATACGACTCTACAACTTTATAGTATATAAGTCTTTATTTTTAATGGCTCGCGAAAAAATAATTAATTTTTAAATTTTAAAGGAATAATTTTTAAAGGAAAACATATTTTTTTTTATTTTCATCAGGTTTGAGACATCTTGTTTAAATTTACTTTTCTGTATAAATATTAATTTATTGATGATTACACTTCTTTTTATTTGATACAACTGCGTTCGATATCAACTCAGATATATAGCAGATGCTTAATTATCATAATATATCTGCTGCTGGCTATGACCTTCGCAATTTTTAAAATATCAACTAACATAGGGAGTGTCAAAAGTTGTTACAAGCTGTTGATAAGAATACTATAGGAAGAGAGAAGAGAAAGGAGCAATTTTAAATTTTATATTCGATGAAGGTCACTGTTTTTTATCTGTGAACAACAGGACTTTCTTCGAACCGGGGCTAAATCCGCGACCCCAATAGAGGGTTTTCCCCTCCTATTTTTCAATCACAATTGTTAGGCATCCCCTAGTTTTTCGATAGAACGGTTGATTGCGCCACGTGATGTAGCGAGAATAGTGCGACGCTCAATGCGGATTCAGTCAGTGCCCGCGCAGACGTCGTCGCGACGAGTCGTCTTCCTCGCTGTTGCCTATACGTGTGTATGCGTGCGTATCTCGTGCGTGATGAATTTGTGAGCAGGAGCAAGGTGAAAAATCCAGTCACGTGTGTGACGAGGAAGAATAAAGTGAGTACAACACAAGCTTAAACGGGGAATTCAACCGGTCGAGCAACATCTGCGGTGCTTGAGAATGATGGGATGGATTAGTCCCTATCAATTCTCAATTTTCGTGGAGTCTTCTAAAAATAGTTCTATCATTTCTTGCCGTACTACTATGGCACATTTCTCTTCTATGAATCGCGGAGTAATGGTTCGGAGCGTAGTTTATATTATACACGGTATATTATATCCAATCGTGATATAAATTTAATAAAATATATAAACCATTCTAAACCATTGCACTATAAATCTTAATTTCATAAAATGTGTATAAATTTAATTATTATTGATTTTTATAATCTGCAGTTTAACATATTTATATCTATGTCTATAGATGAAATTATCAAACTTTAAAAGCGAATTTTAATAAGAAACAAATATTTATTCACCAGAAGATCCGAGTTTGTAATTTGTTAGTGTTTCACGACGCTGTTAGATTATATGACGATCTTTCTTTTCTAAATAAATAATTTTTCTTTCTTCTTCGGTACTCTTAAATCTCAATGCGCTTTTAATTACGATGCAAAAATAAATAAGGGAGGATAGAATCGATAATTTAAAACATCTTGTTTCTTTACTTTTTATACTTGGAGAGTTCTGGAGAAATTGACTCCAAATTTTTTTAGGAAATTATATGGTATTCTTAAGAAAGGAAGCGCTTAGTACATATTATCTATCTGTATTTGTTGATCTTCAACATAATAAATAATATCTATAGTTAACAGAAATATTAAAAAAATTATCTTCTTTTTTTACAAAAAATAAAGTAACCAATTATTATTGTCAGAATGATTAGCATTACTACAATAATTTCTTTTATTATTAATTAATATTACTATTATTATCATTTTACTATTGCTCTTATTACTATTACTATTAAAATTGTACAGAAATTATATGCAAATTATGGAATTGTTTAAGCATTAAAGATCTAATTTGACCGTTTAGGACTTATATTTACTTTTATTTCTGATTTGTTGTATAACGTTACTACTATTGTTACTATTGTTATTGTTACTAATTGTTATTGCTATTATATTGATTGGAAAATGTGGAACACCTGGTTTGGAACACCCAGTATATTACGCTCGTACGCATAGTTATTGTTCAAGCGTAGCTCGTTTCTGCTTGGTATCTTCCTTTCCTCGTGTATTTTACGTCATGACAAGATTACGTCACGAGTCAAGTCACTTTGCAAATGATGTTCATGCTCGTCACGATGTATCTTGAACGCATCATCGTCCACCGAGTGTCTCAAAATATCCTGCATGATGCATGCCAACACCAGAAGGAGGAATGCTCACATTTTATTGGTATCGAGCTTCTTTGGCATTAATGTTAAAATGCTTAACATTATGAAAACACTTGGATATTTTTATTTAAATTTTTTAATTTTTTAATTTAAATTCATATACCATTTCTGAATCGCAAAAGGCTTCGACGTGATGATTAAATAAATTAAAAAGATGATTAAATAAATTAGAAATGAATAAATTAAGTTGAAGAAATACACTTGTATACATATTTGAAGATATAATTCTATTAATTCAAATATATATTTCAATCAATAACTCTCACGAAAAATAAAGTAAGTTTGTTTTCATAATAATAATTAAAAATAATAATCGTTAATGAAATTTTAATATTTTTGGCACGTTTTAATATCTTTGACGCATAACAATTTTTCTGCGTCCTGCTTCTGAAAAAATTATTTAGAAAATTATGTAGCATGAAAAGAAAAACAAAGTTTGCTGAAATATGTGATATATCTAAAAATTTAATTAGATTAAAAAAAGGAAAATAATTTTGTTGAATTATTAAAATAATTATATAGGACGCAAGTATAATGAACAGTTCTAATTTGCATGTGCTATATTATTTTAAAGATCTAACAAAATTATTCAACAAAATTATGTGCTTTGCAGATTATTATATCTATGATAAATATTTCTAATTGCACGAAAATTTCCATGAATATACTTCGCAAAAAAACGATCGCGACATTCGAAGCTTTCTTTGCAATTTTCCATTTGACAGTTATGAAAGTTATATAATCGAGAAAAAGCTCGAGGAAAAGATATTTATTTTTTTCTAATTCACCTCTATTCTATATCTTTATTTTTTTATAAAAGAAGATATTAAGGAAGAAAGATGGTGTTATATATAAGTTTAAAATTCTTAAAATTTGTCAATCTGCAAATTGAAATAATGAAGTGTAGAAAGGAAAAAAATTTTTAAGATAGTCTTAAAACTCTCAAGACTTTCGGAATGTTCAAAAAATTCCAAGCGCTTAGAAACTTGTTTTGATTGGAAACAAAATTATTGTATATATGTACACGAAAAAAAAAATGGTTTGGACAAAATATCTAAAAATTCAACTAGCTACAGATTTGAAAATAATTTTCTTAGACTATAAATCAAAATAATTATGTAGTGCGCTTAAATTAGCATTGATTATTACTTGAGCGTCCTATAAAATTATTTTAATAGTGCAAGAAAATTATTTTCACAAATTTGTATCTAGCTAAATTTTTAAATATCTCAGCAAAATCTTCTCGTACAATGGAAATCTTAAATTATTTTAAAGTTTCTAAGAATTTTAAATTTGGAATCGAAAGTCTATCGTCTTGACGTTACCTAGAAAAATTTTTTTCTTTTATAGCACTTTATTGTTCAATCTTATTATTTCAATTCACTTTATTATTTCAATTCGCAGATTTAGGTGACAATCTATGTATATTCGAAACGATTCTATGAGCCACTATAACGCCATTGGCCTTCACACATTAGAATCGCATGTGATCGCTTCTAAATGTCGATAAGCTGATATAGAGTTGTTTGCTATGCATATCGCGCCCGTCTGAGTTGCCTATCCATTTGTTATTCAGCTATAATTTTTTTCCATGCTTTTATGATTTTAGTTCTCTTTCCTGGATTCCCTCGCAATTCTTTAGATGCGGAAAGTCATTCAGGAGAACAATTATCTTGATTCATGAACAACTGTCGTGAGAACTCGATTGCGAATAAGATTACAAAAATTTTTGAAATCCTTGATTCTTCCAAGAGCTTCATATTTTTACTTTCATATTTCTCGATTCTTCTTCTTGGTAAAATCGCTCTTGTTACATTTTGCAGTTTTTTAAGATTTTTTTTTATTACTTTGAAATTTTATTTACTCTGGAATTAATAATTAATAATTTATTTTTGTTTAATAAACAGCATTTCAATACTGGTTGGATATTCAAATATAGAAGAGAAAAAAATTTCTAAAAGGGAAGACTGTTCTCTGTAAATATCAAGAAAAATCGCGAATGTATATTTTTGCTGCTGTAGAAGCTCGTTCGTTTCGCATGAAACACAATGAGTCATGATCGGACTCTGTGTGTTTCAGTAAAGATTACGTATCGTGCGTCGCTGAACAATTGACCTCAACGTCTCACGAGTTAAACTTCAATAGAGAGTTATTAACACACAACACGCCTTTGTCTTGATGTATTTAATTTTCTCTTTATTGTCTTTTTAACGACGCTGGCTTACTCGAAGCGTATTCTGATAATGATACGTTAATCGAGAGATCATCTTTGCTGTAATACTGAAATGTGATATTTAAGCGATTTTGAGACGTTTACAAATAAATTAATGAAATAATTCAAAATAATCGACAATGATGAAGTTGACAAATATAAAAATATTCTCAGTAAACGAGAATGGATTAAAATGGATTGATATTTTTAATCCATCCAAATTTAAAAACTACATTTCCTATCCAGAATTTTGAATTGAGCAGTATTTATTTTTAAAAATTGAATTTATTTTTGGATCGAAAGACATAGAAAATACGTGTTTCATGCAATTCCTATAAATGAATACAAAGGCATGAAGCATTGAAATGGATTTAGATTTTCGGAAGATTTACGCATTCGCGAATAAATCTTTTTTAAATTATTTTATTCGATTTTTTTTGGGTAAAAATAATTTGGTTATTGTTGTAATAAACAAATTTTCATTTTAATATTTAATATTAAATTGATAACTGGATATCGATAAATTAGAAATTGCAAATTTATTTTTTGT